CAGTTATTCTTGTCGGCTCAGTTATTCTTGTCGGCTCAGTTATTCTTGTCGGCTCAGTTATTCTTGCCGGCTCAGTTATTCTTGTTGGCTCAGTTATTCTTGTCGGCTCAGTTATTCTTGTCGGCTCAGATATTCTTGTCGGCTCAGATATTCTTGCCGGCTCAGTTATTCTTGTCGGCTCAGTTATTCTTGTCGGCTCAGTTATTCTTGTCGACTCAGTTATTCTTGCCGGCTCAGTTATTCTTGTCGGCTCAGTTATTCTTGTCGGCTCAGTTATTCTTGACGGCTCAGTTATTCTTGCCGGCTCAGTTATTCTTGTCGGTTCAGTTATTCTTGCCGGCTCAGTTATTCTTGTCGGCTCAGTTATTCTTGCCGGCTCAGTTATTCTTGTCGGCTCAGTTATTCTTGCCGGCTCAGTTATTCTTGCCGGCTCAGTTATTCTTGTCGGCTCAGTTATTCTTGCCGGCTCAGTTGTTCTTGTCGGCTCAGTTATTCTTGTCGGCTCAGTTATTCTTGTCGGCTCAGTTATTCTTGCCGGCTCACTTATTCTTGTCGGTTCAGTTATTCTTGTCGGCTCAGTTATTCTTGTCGGCTCAGTTATTCTTGCCGGCTCAGTTATTCTTGTCGGCTCAGTTATTCTTGCCGGCTCAGTTATTCTTGTCGGCTCAGTTATTCTTGTCGGCTCAGTTATTCTTGTCGGCTCAGTTATTCTTGCCGGCTCAGTTATTCTTGCCGGTTCAATTATTCTTGCCGGCTCAGTTATTCTTGTCGGCTCAGTTATTCTTGTCGGCTCAGTTATTCTTGTCGGCTCAGTTATTCTTGCCGGCTCAGTTATTCTTGTCGGTTCAGTTATTCTTGCCGGCTCAGTTATTCTTGTCGGCTCAGTTATTCTTGTCGGCTCAGTTATTCTTGTCGGCTCAGTTATTCTTGTCGGCTCAGTTATTCTTGCCAGCTCAGTTATTCTTGTCGGTTCAGTTATTCTTGCCGGCTCAGTTATTCTTGTCGGCTCAGTTATTCTTGTCGGCTCAGTTATTCTTGTCGGCTCAGTTATTCTTGTCGGCTCAGTTATTCTTGTCGGCTCAGTTATTCTTGTCGGCTCAGTTATTCTTGTCGGCTCAGTTATTCTTGTCGGCTCAGTTATTCTTGTCGGCTCAGTTATTCTTGTCGGTTCAGTTATTCTTGTCGGCTCAGTTATTCTTGCCGGCTCAGTTATTCTTGCCGGCTCAGTTATTCTTGTCGGCTCAGTTATTCTTGTCGGCTCAGTTATTCTTGTCGGCTCAGTTATTCTTGCCGGCTCAGTTATTCTTGTCGGCTCAGTTATTCTTGTCGGTTCAGTTATTCTTGTCGGCTCAGTTATTCTTGCCGGCTCAGTTATTCTTGCCGGCTCAGTTATTCTTGTCGGTTCAGTTATTCTTGTCGGCTCAGTTATTCTTGTCGGCTCAGTTATTTTTGTAGGCTCAGTTATTAAAGCTATCAATAATGAGCTATTGTCTGTGTAAGTTGTATCATGTACTTATAGAAATAAAGATAATAATAATAATAATAATAATAATAATAATAATAATAATAATAATAATAATAATAATAATTATTATTATTATTATTATTATTATTATTATTATTATTATATTCAGGAAGCCTGGTACTGTGGTGTTATATAACTTAATATAATTAAAGTTTAATTACAAAGTTGTACATAAGAGTTTATAAATTATTTATAAGAGACAATATTTCCTAGAGTTATAGATGAAATAAGATAATAAGATAATAGAAGTTTATATTAAGGTCTTTATATCAAGACCATCTGTGGTGGCCTTGATAACAACAACAACAACAACCGTCTTGTGTCTGGCTGCAGCTCTTGGTCCTCTTATTACTTAATAATTATGACTTCTAAGATGATGGCAGGTAAACTTAACACTTAATAATGTATTACCAGTTATCTTACTTGTAATTTATGTGTTAATTATGTTTGATATATTACGTTAACTTCCATCGTCAAGGAGTGCTAGTGAAGGGTTCTTGATCCAAGGACATGGACCTGTTCAGTATATATTAAACTTCCCTCGTCAAGGAGTGCTGGTGAAGGGTTCTTGATCCAAGGACATGGACCTGTTCAGTTTTTTTTTCCATGGATCCAACTCTGATTTCCTCCTATGCCACTCAGGTGATTGACCCCTAAGGGTTTAGCGCTTCCTAATTTATTTATTTATTTTATGTCTTTGCAAACAGTACATTGATGCTGGTGAGGGGCTCTTGATTTAGGGAATTGGATCTGTGCTCCAGTTCCCCGAATTAAGCCTGAATGCCTTCCACATCCCCCCCCCGGGCGCTGTATAATCCTCCGGGTTTAGCGCTTCCCCCTTGATTATAATAATAATATATTTACAATAATGGGTTGCAATACAAAGAGAACCTCTATTATGGCTAGGTATTATGGGCCAACTTAACATTATTGGCTTACAGTCTACTTAATACTAAGGAGTACAGTATATCATAGTTGTACAGTAGGATGGTAATTATATCATAGTTGTACAGTAGGACAGTAATTATATCATAGTTGTACAGTAGGACAGTAATTATATCATAGTTGTACAGTAGGATGGTAATTATATCATAGTTGTACAGTAGGACAGTAATTATATCATAGTTGTACAGTAGGATGGTAATTATATCATAGTTGTACAGTAGGACAGTAATTATATCATAGTTGTACAGTAGGATGGTAATTATATCATAGTTGTACAGTAGGACAGTAATTATATCATAGTTGTACAGTAGGACAGTAATTATTTCATTGTTGTACAGTAGATTATTAATTATAAATGAATCAAATTTGTATAAGACAAAAGATATTTTCATATATTCTAAAATGTTTTTTGTGAAAACAATGATTCAATTATATTCCTGTCAACAATGGATAAAAGGTTCATAGTGATTGTTTCAGTTATGATGTTAGAGTACGTGAGTGAGTCCGTGTGTACTGAGTATTTAGCGTTTAGTCTAGGGTGATTAAGTGACTTTTGAGATGAGCCTTAAATTTATTTTCAGACTGGGTTACTTTAATATCTTCTGGTAATGAATTCCATATTTTGGGGCCCTTTATGTGCAGAGTTTTTATACAGTGTGATATGGACACGAGGTATATCAAAAAGAGATCTGTGTCTTGTGTTGTGGTCATGTGTCCTGTTTAGGTTGGTGAGGAGAAGTTTGAGTGGAGGGTTTATATTTGCGTGTATTGTTCTGTGTATGTAGTAGGCACATGAATAAGTATGGATGTTCTTAATGGTGAGCAGATTCAGACTTTTGAAAATTGGTGGAGTGTGCTGGCAGGAGTGGGAATTTATCATTCTTAGTTAGTTTAATATGTTTATTATGCGCCCCATACCCATCCTGTGGGCGGTAGTCAAAAGATTACAGAGGTACATAATTGGTCCAGGGACTGGGCCTCAAAGTTTTGATAGCTGAGCAAGTTACAGAGGTAATGAATTCACAATTTACAAAGGTAATAAACTCACAATTTACAAAGGTAATGAACTCCAGGTAGGTCTAGTCACAATCATGACAAGTTACAAAGGTATTTACAGATTACAGAGGTACACAATGGGTCCAGGGACCGGGCTCCAAAGTTTTGATGGCTGAACTAGGTACAAGGTAATGAACTCACAAGTTGCAAAGGTAATGAACTCACAAGTTACAAAGGTAATGAATACTGTAAGAATGGTTACTTACGTTTATACATGGCTGCAATCATGAACAAATTTTAGAGTAATGAGCAATTCACACTTCCACACCCGGTCACAACTGTAGTGAGTTATTGGTGCAAATGTTGATTGCTGAGTCTCTCTCTCTCTCACACACACACACACACACACACATACAAATTCATACACACACACACATAAACACACACACACACACACACACACACACACACACACACACACACACACACACACACACTGGACATGTGGTCCAGTAACTGGCTCCTCGAATTCAATCCAGCCAAATGCAAAGTCATGAAGATTGGGGAGGGGCAAAGAAGACCGCAGACAGAATATAGGCTAGGTGGACAAAGACTACAGACCTCACTCAGGGAGAAAGACCTTGGGGTGACCATAACACCGAGCACATCACCGGAGGCACACATCAACCAAATAACCGCTGCAGCATACGGGCGCCTGGCAAACCTGAGAATAGCGTTCCGATACCTTAATAAGGAATCGTTCAAGACACTGTACACTGTGTATGTTAGGCCCATACTGGAGTATGCAGCACCAGTCTGGAACCCACACCTGGTCAAGCACGTCAAGAAGTTAGAGAAAGTACAAAGGTTTGCAACAAGGCTAGTCCCAGAGCTCAAGGGAATGTCGTACGAGGAAAGGTTAAGGGAAATCGGACTGACGACACTGGAGGACAGAAGGGTCAGGGGAGACATGATAACGACATACAAGATACTGCGGGGAATAGACAAGGTGGACAGAGATAGGATGTTCCAGAGAGGGGACACAGGGACAAGGGGTCACAACTGGAAGCTGAAGACTCAGACGAGTCACAGGGACGTTAGGAAGTATTTCTTCAGTCATAGAGTTGTCAGCAAGTGGAATAGCCTAGCAAGTGAAGTAGTGGAGGCAGGAACCATACATAGTTTTAAGAAGAGGTATGACAAAGCTCAGGAAGCAGAGAGAGAGAGGATCCAGTAGCGATCAGTGAAGAGGCGGGGCCAGGAGCTGAGTCTCGACCCCTGCAACCACAATTAGGTGAGTACACACACACTCATACACACACACACTCATACTCACACACACACACACACACACACACACACACACACACACACACACACACACACACACACACACACACACACACACACACACACACACACACATTCTTACTGCTGCCTTTTGCTGGGTTATTAGGGGTTTTAGGTGACTTGATGTTGTTGATCCCCATGCACAAATTCCATATGTAAGATAAGGGTATATGAGTGAATGGTACAGTGCCAGGAGAGCTGATTGTGGAACGTAGTACCTTATCTTTGATAAGGTACAGTCTTGGAGAATTTCTTGGTGATTTGTTGTATGTGTGTCCAGAACTTAAGGCTACTGTCAAGGTGGATACCTAGGAATTTTCCCTCTGTGAGTCTTGTGACTGATGATCAGTTTAGCGTTATGTTAATTGGATCATTTGCAGCTTTGTTTCCAAACTGAATGAAATAGGTTTTATCAGTGTTCAGGGTAAGTTTGTTAGTCATCATCCAGGCAGATATTTTCTGTAATTCAGCATTGACTGTGTTTGCTAGTATGACTGTGTTTGGGTGGGAAAAGACGTATGTAGTGTCATCTGCAAATAATATGGGTTTAAGTAGCTGTGATGCATTCAGTAGATCATTGATGTAGATGAGAAAGAGGAGTGGTCCAAGGACGCTTCCTTGTGGGACTCCTACTGTGGTTGGTTGGGTGGAAGAGTTTGCATCATTTGCATACACATATTGAGTTCTGTTACTAAGGTATGATTTTAGGTAGTTGAGGGAGTGGCCTCTGATACCATAGTGCGTTAATTTGGAGTACAGCAGTCCATGGTCAACTGTATCGAAAGCTTTACTTAAATCATTGAAAATGCCCAGTGGGACTTCTTTCTTTTTGAGTGCGGTATATATTAGTTCTAGCATATGTATGATAGCATCATTCGTGCTTTTATTATTCCTGAATCCAAACTGACAAGGGTTTAATATGTTGTGTGAGACGAGGTAGGAATAGATCCGTCTATAAATTAATTTTTCAAAGATTTTAGAGAGCAGTGGTAAGTTATATATTGGTCTATAGTTATTCACGTCAGCTTGGTCACCTCCTTTGTGGATCGGAGTGATATACTAATGATATACTATACTGGTAATATACTATACTATACAATATACTATACAGTGGATCCCCGGTTAACGATATTTTTTCATTCCAGAAGTATGTTCAGGTGCCAGTACTGACTGAATTTGTTCCCATAAGGAATATTGTGAAGTAGATTAGTCCATTTCAGACCCCCAAACATACACGTACAAACGCACTTACATAAATACACTTACATAATTGGTCGCATTGGGAGGTGATCGTTAAGCGGGGGTCCACTGTACTTGTAATGATGTACTATAAATTGTGCTGCTAGTCTGCCCTAGTCTGGCTGCCATACCTGGAGTATACCTGGGGTATACCAGGGGTATACCTGGAGTATACCTTGAGTATATCTAGGGTATACCTGGGTTATACCTGGAGTATACCTAGGGTATACCTGGGGTATACCTGGGGTATACCTGGAGTATATCTGGGGTATACCTGGAGTATATCTGGGGTATACCTGGAGTATACCTGGAGTATACCTGGGGTATACCTGGAGTATATCTGGGGTATACCTGGGGTATATCTGGGGTATATCTGGGGTATATCTGGGGTATACCTGGAGTATATCTGGGGTATACCTGGAGTGGGTTTCGGGGGTCAGTGCCCCCGTGGCTCAGTCTGAGACCAGGCCTCATGGTGGATCAGGGTCTAATCAACCAGGCTGTTACTGCTGGCCGCACACAAACTGACGTAGGAACCACAGCCCGGTTGGTCAGGTACTGACTTTAGGTGCCTGTCCAGTGCCTTCTTGAAGACAGCCAGGTGTCTATTGGTAATCCACCTTATGTATGCTGGGAGGCAGTTGAACAGGCTTGGGTCCCTGACACTTATTGTGTTGTCTCTCAGTGTACTCATGGCACCCCTGCTTTTCATCGGGGGAATGTTGCATCTCCTGCCGAGTCTTTTGCTTTCATAAGGAGTGATTTCCGTGTGCAGGTTTGGTACTAATCCCTCCAGGATTTTCCAAGTGTATATTATCATGTATCTCGCTTGCGTTCCAGGGATTACAAATCAAGGGACTTCAGCCGATCCTAGTAATTTAGGTGCTTTATCATATATGATGCATTAATAACTACAAGCAGGTGAAGGGCTCTTGATCCAAGGAATTAAGCTACCCTTGAAGGGTCAATTTTTACTTTTTTTTCCCAGGGATGGAACTCCCATGAGTATTTTGCATTTGCATGCAGCTAGCAGTAACAGCCTGGTTTATCAGACCCTGATCCACCATGAGGCCTTGTCATGGACCAGGCTGCGGGGGTATTGACCCCCAAAATCCTCTCGAGGTATACTCCAGGTATAACTGCTAATCGTGCCATAGGAAACAGTTTTTTGTAGTCCAGACTGTTATTTATTGAGATATTAGTATTTTGTTGGTGCAATAACATGTGCTGAAATCTAATGGTTATAATTATAACCATAAGTGTTAAAGGGGTGGAGGGGTAAGCCAGTGCAAGGCCTCGGTAAGATGACCAAAAGCTCCAGCTGTGAGTCATCGTATGACTAAGACCCACGTCGGGAAACACTTGTACTGTTTCCTTACAAACCTTACCTAACTTAACTTAACCTAACCTAAGTTACTTAACCTTAAAGAACAAAAAGGCACAATACCATGACAGGAACATTACACAAATAACCTGCACATAGGAGAGAGGAGCTTACGACGACATGCAGGTTATTTGTGTATTAACCTAACCTTACTTAATCTAACACATGTTATCTCTTTCCCTCAGTGGAGTACCATCGTAGAATCATTATTTATTAGTCTGCATCAGGTTAGATTACATTGGATTTAGTTGAGTTACATTGGATTTGGGTGGGTTACATTGGATTTGGTTGATTTACATTGGATTTGGTTGAGTTACATTGGATTTGGTTGAGTTACATTGGATTTGGTTGAGTTACATTGGATTTGGTTAGCATATATTGAATTTGGTTGAGTTACATTGAATTTGGTTGAATTACATTGAATTTGATTGGGGTTTCATTGGGGCTTCCTACCTTTTTTTTAACATTTGCACAAAAAACTATCTCCAATACACATTCATGTTAATTTTTTAAATAGCTCAAAGTTATTAACCCCCTCTGTCATGATTGTTTCTGATTGCCTCCCATTCCCTTTACCTTACAGGTTTAGTGCACCCCCATGAATGAGAAACAGGATTACTTATAAAATGTTTCCTGATAAAAACAGGAGAATTGGCATTCAAACTATGAGAGGTAGTGGAGAAAGTCAAGACAAAAACTTTCTTAGCATCTGTTAACCATATATCTGAAGCATAAAAAAATCGAACTAAGACTAATTGCATGTGCAGGAATCATAGATATTATTGTAATAACCGAGATCTGGTTCAGTTTGAAAACTAGGGACATGCTTGCTGAATGCCACATACAGGGATAATAAGTAAGCAAATTTATTAGGTACAGGTACACACAAGTACAATTATCATACATAGTTTAACATGTGTAAATTACCTAGGATAGTCACCAGGAAAGGGAGCAAAGTTACTATGTATGTCAGGGGAAATTTAAACTGTTGTATCAAGGATGGTAGAAGTGGAAAGGATACACACAGAATCTGTATGACAGCAGTTTCTCGAAGGATGGAAAAAGATAATCCTAGGTGTGATTTACAGACCCTTATTAAACCTAGATAGTGACCATGGTAATATTCTATGGGAGGAAATTGCTTAGGCATCTAGAAATAAAAAATATAGATTTAATGGGAGATTTTAACTTTAGCCATATTGCTTAGTTTCAGTCTGTACCGCCAAAACTTCAACTACATCGTTTGAGGTGTTTAGTAGTTCTGAGCAAATAAGTGACTCTGATGTACAGGCCAACCCCCCTTGTTGCCTGTTTAGTCTGTCGCATCTGAATAGGTCATAACTTGGGATCCATATTTCGTTGTCAGTATGATCCTTTATGTGGGTCTCTGTGAAAACTGCAAACATTGCATTGGCAATACATTAACATTGTATTGGCATTGATGAAAATGTTGCCAATACTTTCAAAATATTAATACAGTAATACCCTGGTTTTTGTCCTTAATCGGTTCCAGAAGGTCAGTCGAAATCCGAAATGGATGAAAACCAAAGTAATATTTCCCATAGGAAATAATGTAAATCCAATTAATCTGTTCCAGACACCCAAAAATATTAACAAAAAATACATTTTATAGAGAATAACTATAGTTTTACATACAGAAAACAATGAGAAATAAATATAAATGACTAATTTTAATGGATAAATGAACATTTAAATAACTTTTACATTTATTGAAGAGACTTGATGGCATATGGAAGATGGCGAGGAGGGGAGAGGGAGGAGAGGTTATTGTTTGGAAGGGGAATCCCCCTCCATAAGGACTTCAGGTATCAAAATTTCTCCACCAACTCTTCCACATCCTATATAATGCGGCCCAGAGCCATATTATTACCATCGACATACTATGTTCACTGAGTTTAATCATTTCTAACAATTACCTTTAGATGCCATCATAAACAAAGGGAGAATAATGAATAATTCATGCTGAGAATTGTAAACAAAAGCGTTATGTATGAAGGGTAGTGACTAGGCCAGTCGCAGATTCTTACAATTTTCTCTAATGCTGGACCAGAGAAAACGTAAATTTTTTCCTTCTACCTGGCTAGCACATCTCCATAGCATATAAACATTGCATGTTTATATGCTGTGTAGAATATTTCTTATATAATTTTGAAGAAAATATCATAGATAGGTTAATGAAAATATCTATATTAATGTAAAATAAGACAATGTGCCCAAGAGTGATTATTATTACGTACAGTGGACCCTCGGTTAACGGCGGCATTGGCTAACACCAAAATCGGATAACGCCTCGCTTTGGCGTAAAAAAATTGGCTCGGATAACACCTAAAATCTCGGTCAGGAGCTTTTGTCCCGAACGTGTCGGCACGGTGCCCTGAGCGGGCCTGGCCACTCACTCCGTGTACCAGCCAGTGTGCCATTGTTGACAAAGCCAGTGAGGATGAATCCACGCGTACATGCGATATATTTTGTAGTCCATTGTTTTTGGTGCTAAATAAGCCACCATGGGCCCCAAGAAAGCTTCTAGTGCCACCCCTATGGTAAGGAATGTGAGAAACACATATAATTTAAGAAAAAAGTTTGTAGGGAATACGAAAGTGGCGGTGGTAGAGGGTGGTAGTGGTTGTGATGGTGGTAGAGGGTGGTAGTGATTGTGATGGTAGTAGAGGGTGGTAACGATT